GGTTGATATTCAAAGGTTCCAAACTCCTGTTTTAGGCACAAAATCATGGGAAAACTTAATAAAACATGGAAACATAGTGAAATTGGAACCAGTTGCTCAAAATCATAGTATTTCTTCAACTGAAAATTCCAACTTCAAGTTATAAAACAAGTTTATCTCAAATTGAGTTTGTATTTCTTCAAAACATAATCAATTGATGTGAGAGGGATGAAAACATGAAGGACTCTTCAAGTTGAGGTATAAAAGTGCCATGTATGGGAGAATTTCATGAATTCTAACTCATTTTATACATGCATGTACATGATTAACTCTTATATTCCAAATTCAAGGTGATTCAAGCTTCTACTTCACAATTTCATGCAAATGAACTCAAAACTTAGATGAATTAAATTCCTACATGTTCCTTCTTCAAAGATTAAGGTTAAAGGTCATACCTAGGGCTTGATTCAAGTATATACTAGCATAAATTCCCAAGTCCTCCACAATTTCCTTCAAATTCTCCTTTCTCTCTCTCTCTCTAAATATTGAGTTACTCCCTCCCTCTCTCAAAATTTCAGCCAAGAGTGTATATATGAGTTCAAGAATTAATTAACCCATTTATATGGTGTGATTAGCTTAGCCTAATCAAGGTTGATCAAGGTTAATTAATTATGCTTACTTCTAACTAAGTTCAATCAGTTTATTCTAATTACTTGATCCAAATCAATTTTCAATTAAAGTTGCCATAAAATTCTAAATATTCTAATTAGTCTATTACGCTAATCAATTTCAGTTTCTGAAGCCTTCTAGACTCTCAATTTCTGTCTCTAAGTTGTCAATTTGAACAGATATTCCATGTGACAACAGATAACTACAAAATTAAGCATGTAATCACACAATTAAACACACAATCATGCAATTAAACTTATTAGAATAATATAATATAATAGTCCGAAGGTCGGAGTCGTCACAGTCTCTGCCCTTTAGAAAGTTTTGTCCTCCAAACTTAAGTTACCTTCAGATGAAAACAAATGTGGATACCGTTGCCGCATCTCTTCCTCTTTCTCCCAAGTGGCCTCCTCCTCATAATGTTTTTTCCACTCAAGTTTCACCACAGGGGTAGTTTTGTTTCTCAATTGCATCACTTGCCGATCAACGATTTGCACGGGCCATTCTTCATACATCATATTCTGGTCTAATGCAATTCGATGGTGATCAATCACATGGAATGGGTCTCTGAGATAACCCCGAAGCGTGGACACATGGAAAACATTATGCACTTGTTTTATTCCCGATGGTAAAGCAATACGATAACCAGCAGGACCTAACCTCTTGAGAATCTGAAACGACCCGATATAGTAAGGAGTCAATATTTCTTTTTTGCTAAATCTCATCTGTCACTTCATTGGGGTCACTTTGATGAATACATGATCTCCCACTTCGTACTCTAAGTCCTTTCTTTTCTGATCCGCATAGCTTTTCTGCCGGCTCTGTGAAGTTTGAGTATTTGTTGAATGATTTTGATCTTCTCAGTCGTCTCTTGCACAAGTTCGGTTCCATAAATAGCCCTATCACCAACCTCTATCCAACAAATTGGCAATTTACATTTTCTGCCATATAGTGCCTCATATGGTGCCATACCGATACTAGTGTGGAAACTATTGTTATAAGCAAACTTAGCCAATGGCAAATAAGTTTCCCAGCTGCCTTGAAAATCCAAAACACATATATGAAGCATGTCTTCTAAGGTCTGAATAGTCCTCTCGATTTACTAATCGGTTTGTGGATGAAATGCTGTACCAAATCTCAATTCTATTCCCATTGCATCCTGCAGACTATGCCAAAATCTAGAAATAAATTTAAGATACCTATCTGATACAATAGACACTGGAACCCCATGCAGTCAAATAATTTTGTCAATGTAGATAGTAGCAAGTCTATATGCAGTAAAAGAAGTCTTTACGGCAAGAAAATGAGTAGACTTAGTCAGTTTATCAACTACAACCCAAATAGAATCCATACCTCTAGGCGTTCAAGGTAGGCCAACAACAAAGTCCATGATGATATACTCCCATTTTCATTCCAGAATAGGAAGAGACTGAAGCAAGCCCGTTGGTTTCTGATGCTCTGCTTTTACCTATTGGCATTGTAAGCATTTAGAGTTAAAGTCGATAATCTCTCTTTTCATGTTGGGCCACCAATACACTAACTACAAATCTTGGTACATTTTGGTGTTTCCTGGGTGCCTAGTAAAGACTAACTTGTGGGCTTCCTCTAATTTTTTTTTTTCAAATCTGTATCATTTGGAATACACAATCTCCCTTGAAATTTTAGCACGAAATTTTCAATTGTGAATCCCGATTTAAGCTTGGTGTCAAGTTCATCACAAATCTTCTTCAAAAACTCATCATTCATTTGGTTTTGTTTGATTTCTTCAATAATTGCAGGTTGTGCAGACATTATAGCTATCAAGCTATCTTGTTCAAAAGGTATCACTTAGATTTCAAGCCGTTCAAACTCTAGCAGCAATTCTTTCTGATCTGTGAGCAAACAAGCTAGATTCCCCACATTCATTCTATTGAGTGCATCTGCTATAGTGTTGGCTTTGCTCAGATGGTAGTGAATCTATAAATCATAGTCTTTGATCAATTCAAGCCAGCGTCTTTGTCGCATGTTCAATTCTTTCTGAGTGAAAAGTATTTCAAACTCTTATGATCTGTGTACACTTCACATTTGGCCCCATACAAATAGTGACGCCATATCTTTAATGCAAACACAACTGCTGTAAGTTCTAGGTTGTGTGTAGGGCAGTTCTTCTCGTGTGGCATCAACTGTCGAGAGGCATATGCAATCACCTTGCCATTCTACATTAAGACACAACCCAAACCTTTATAAGATGCATCACTATAAATCATAAATCCTTTCATACCTGAGGGTATAGTGAGGATTGGAGTTGTGGTTAATCTTGTCTTTAGTTCTTGAAATGCAGATTCTCTTTGGTTGGTCCATTCAAAAGGTTCTTCTTTTCGAGTCAATTGAGCCAACGACATTGCAATCCTTGAGAAGTCTCTAACAAACCTTCGATAATAACTAGCCAACCTCATAAAACTATGAACTTTTGTTACATTGGTTGGAGTAGGCACTCTACAATCGCTTCGATTTTGTGAGGGTCAACTGCGATACCATTTCTGTTAATAAAAAATGTTACTTCATCAAGCCAAAATTCACACTTCTTGAATTTCCCATACAGTTGCTTTTCTCTAAGTGTTTGAAGAGTCATTCTCAAATGTTGTTCATGCTCATCCTTACTTTTAGAATAAATCAAAATGTCATCAATGGAAGCAACGACAAAATCATCTAAGAAAGGTTTGAAGACCCTGTTCATCAAATCCATGAATGTTGCGGGTGCATTAGTGACTCCGAAAGGCATGACTAAAAATTCATAATGTCCATACCTAGTTAGGAAAGCAGTTTTTCAATATCTTCAGTCCTAACTTTCAACTAATGATAGCCTGATCTCAAGTCAATTTTTGAAAATACTTGGGCCCCATGCAACTGGTCAAATAAATCATCGATACATAGCAATGGATATTCATTTTTTACTGTTACCTTGTTAAGGTCTCAGTAATCAATGCATAGACGGATCTAAGAAAGGTTTGAAGACCCTGTTCATCAAATCCATGAATGTTGCGGGTGCATTAGTGACTCTGAAAGGCATAACTAAAAATTCATAATATCCATACCTAGTTAGGAAAGCAGTTTTTCAATATCTTCAGTCCTAACTTTCAACTAATGATAGCCTGATCTCAAGTCAATTTTTGAAAATACTTGGGCCCCATGCAACTGGTCAAATAAATCATCGATACATAGCAATGGATATTCATTTTTTACTGTTACCTTGTTAAGGTCTCAGTAATCAATGCATAGACGGAGAGTGCCATCTTTCTTCTTTACAAACAATACCGGTGCTCCCCACGGTGATGTGCTCGGTCTGACAAACCCCTTATCAAGTAGTTCCTGTAGCTGGACTTTTAATTCTTTCATTTCAGTGGTAGACATACGGTAGGGAGTTTTAGAAATTGGTTGTGTTCCCGGTATTACATCAATTGAAAATTCAATCTCTCTATCAACAAGTTGGCCGGGTAATTCATCCGGAAACACATCAGGAAAATCTCTTACCACTGGTATATTGTCTAGACTAATGTCTATAGTTGGTTCAGTTATCACACTACAAAAATACCCTTGACAACCCTTATTTATTAGTTCTCAGTCTTTCATGGCAGATATGAGGTATGGTGGAGGAACTACCCATTTTCCCTCAAAATAAAATTCATCTTGTTCGGGAGGTCGGAATATCACTCATTTCAAAGAACAATCAATAGTTGCATGGTATTTAGCTAGCTAATCCATACCCAAAACAACATCAAAATGTCTCATGTCTAAAGTTATTAAATCAACATACAAATTAGCATTCCCAAGAAATAATTCACATGCAGCAAATACAGTTGAGCACAAATACAGGTGATGCAACACATAATATGTAATTCAATGTTTCCATGGGTCTGTTCAAAGTTTCAGCAAAAACTGTAGGAAGAAACAAATGTGTAGATCCTGAATCAATTAAAGTATAAGTAGGTTTACCACATTTGAAGATTGTACCTGACACTACTGCCTCAGTATTTCGAGTATTCCCCGAAATCTGTGCAAAAACCCTTCCTTGCCTTTGTTCATTTCTTGTTGCAGAGGGTGTCATATTTGTTCCTGTTATTGGAGTGGATCTTGTCGAACTTGCAGTACTATGGTTTCCACTTTGACGTGATTGTGTACAATCCTTGCGATGTGCCCCATCTTTCCACAGTGATAACAAGCTCCTGATGCGCAGTAGCAAACACCCCAATGTTTCCTTCCACATACGCTACAAGTTGGTGTTGAACTACCATCTTAATTTGAACTAATATTACTAGAACTCCCAGATTTGGACTTCTTGTTCATTGACGTTGCCCCCTTATTAAAATTCTATTTTATGCCCTCCAGTCAAACTTCTGTTTACAATTAGCCACATTGCCTTCTGGTATTAGTGCTTTATCAAGCACATCCACATATGTTGGCAACTTGAGCAAATTCATTTTGTCCAAAATTGGGTCTCGCAAACCTCCCTCAAATTGTCTAGCCTTCTTGTAGTCTGTATCTACCATATGGGGTGCAAAGCGAGCCAACTCCGTAAAATGAGCCTTATACTCGGCAACTGATCTGTTTCCCTGCTTGAGTTCCATAAATTCAGACACCTTTCTGTCCCGCACACACTGTGGGAAGTACTTCTCATAAAAGATCTCTAAAAAGTGAGCCCAAGTAATATCCTTATTTTCATCACCCACCAACATCGACCAATGCCTGGCATCATCTTCTAAGGTGAATACGGCTAATTGTACTTTCTGAGCTTCAGTACAAGGGAACACTTCAAACAACTTTTCAATCCCTAAGACCCAAGCTTTGGCTTTCAATGGTTCAATTCTGCCATGAAACACTAGTGGCTTCATCTTTTTGAATTCTCTAGTTAAAGCAATAGTACAGTCCCCCATCTGACACCTTGGAACTGCAAGTGGTACAGACATTGGAGGTGAGGGTTGTCGCTGTTGTTATTGTTGCTGCCACTGTTGTTGTTGTCTTATCGCTTCAACCATGTCTGGCATCATTCGTTCCATTCTATCCAGTCTTGAGGAGATCGCCTCCTCTATCTCATCACCTTTTGTTCTCACCATTTTCTACATAAAGCTTGTATTATGACAAACGCAATATACATATTCATGCACATAATTGCATATATAATCGCAAAGTTATCTCACTCAATATTTCAAATGCACATGAATGTAATCCTAAAGGCTTTTCTAGACCTTCTATAGCTCAATGGAAAAGTGAGTGAGATATAACTCATGCTCTGATACAACTCTGTCAGGACCTAAACCCGTCCCATTTGGTTTAGCGTCATGACTGGCTAGTAATCTTAGATTACCTATAGCCTCCACACAAAAGACCTTTTTAAATATAGAGTACAGGGCTTAGCGGAAGTCAAAAACAACATAAGAATTATACATTGAGCCGTGCATATATGAAAAGGGCTTCATATCATGTGTAGAGTTTCACTCTTTATGTACATACACCACATCTTATAGGTATACGAAACTCACAAAACTCCAAAATAAACACATACCAAAAACATTTATCAAGCAAAAAGGGGTTCAACTAGCATGGCTCTAACTGAGCCTAGTTACTTCACTTAGAAGCTCCTCAAAATGCTGACTCGGGTAGACTCGAGGCTTTCTTAATTCTGATGCTCAGCTTGCCCACCTATATATATATATATAATGAGCTAGGACCCAGTGAGTAATAACAGAATAAAGAGGTTATATGAAAGAACCTCAATAACATTGCAAAATGAAATTTCATTACAGATCTCAATAATTCATTAACTTCATTATCAAGATCTTTTAATATCGATTTATGTGGTACATCCACGAAGTAATAACATTCCCATAATAATGGATAATAACAATTTAACACTAGGGATCTCTGTGTGTCAATCAATCCAAAAGCCATGGTATTGTTTCCCCCAGGCAAGGACCTAGCCATGGTATTGTCTTCCCCAGGCAAGGGCCTAGCCAGGGTATTGTCTTCCCCAGGCAAGGGCCTATATTCAATGGATGCCACGAAACCATTTCAAAACAGAACTTCATTCATTATAAGAAAATGATGTGTCAATAGGCCGCTCAATCAATTCTCATATATCAATTTTGATAGCAATAACCTTTTTGAAAGTAATCATAACTTGAACATATCTTTATAAAGTCATTACTCATAATGGGTTATGTTGTCACTAAGCCTCAAATGTCCACCTATACAAAACACATAACAAAAGCACAATTGAAGCACCATTTCATTTTAATTCAATTCTCTTATGTGTTTCTCGCTCATTCCATGACTATGTGAGTCCAATTGGTGCCCAAGAACACTTCGAATGTTATGAGGATGCAAAAATGCACTTGGAAGAGTTAGTCAAATTTTGCTGGAAACAGGGTCTCCGCTCAAGCGTAACTTTCTTTGCTCGAGCGGGGGTACAAAAATAATGGTGGTCGCTCGAGCGCATATTCTATTGCTCGAGCAGTCTGCAAACTTGGCAAAAGTATTGGTTACATGAAATTTTTGCTTGACTGTTGCTCAAGCGGAAGGCTAAGTAGAAGTGGTCCTTGCTCGAGCGCCACTTTGGTCGTTTGAGCAGCCTATAAAATTTTGCAAAACTTCTGGGAGCTTGATTTTCATGGTCGAGCGACACTTTCTTCGCTCGAGCGGACAGTTCAAATTCAGGGAATTCCAGAACTGTGTTTGAACTTCAAGGTTGATATTCAAAGGTTCCAAACTCCTGTTTTAGGCACAAAAACATGGGAAAACTTAATAAAACATGGAAACATAGTGAAATTGGAACCAGTTGATCAAAATCATAGTATTTCTTCAACTGAAAATTCCAACTTCAAGTTATAAAACAAGTTTAACTCATATTGAGTGTGTATTTCTTCAAAACATAATCAATTGATGTGAGAGGGATGAAAACATGAAGGACTCTTCAAGTTGAGGTGTAAAAGTGCCATGTATGGGAGAATTTCATGAATTCTAACTCATTTTATACATGCATGTACATGATTAACTCTTATCTTCCAAATTCAAGGGGATTCAAGCTTCTACTTCACAATTTCATGCAAATGAACTCAAAACTTAGATGAATTAAATTCCTACATGTTCTTTCTTCAAAGATTAAGGTTGAAGATCATACCTAACGCTTGGTTCAAGTATATACTAGCTTAAATTCCCAAGTCCTCCACAATTTCCTTCAAATTCTCCTTTCTCTCTCTCTCTCTCTAAATGTTGAGTTACTCTCTCCCTCTCTCAAAATTTCAGCCAAGAGTGTATATATGAGTTCAAGAATTAATTAACCCATTTATATGGTGTGATTAGCTTAGCCTAATCAAGGTTGATCAAGGTTAATTAATTATGCTTACTTCTAACTAAGTTCAATCAGTTTATTCTAATTACTTGATCCAAATCAATTTTCAATTAAATTTGCCATAAAATTCTTAATATTCTAATTAGTCTATTATGCTAATCAATTTCAGTTTCTGAAGCCTTATAGACTCTCAATTTCTGTCTCTAAGTTGTCAATTTGAACAGATACTCCATGTGACAACAGATAACTACAAAATTAAGCATGTAATCACACAATTAAACAGACAATCATGCAATTAAACTTATTAGAATAATATAATATTATAGTCCGGAGGTCGGGGTCGTCACACCATTAGCTTGTTATCGGCTATGTTTGTGTTCACCTCAACGAAACCTCCACCCTTAGCCATCTAACCACAAGCTCCCCAGCTTCCTAGGGCAAGGGCCACAACCAAGCCTGCTATCAGCCATGTTGTGCCTTAGCACCAAGCCCAAGTAGGCTTCCTTAGTCTTGCATGTGCGACTAAGGCAGGTTCGTGACTTGGGTAATGGAAAGGGACTCCTTTACACTCGGGCTACCCTGCATCCATCTTCGCAGGATCGTCGCAGTAAATTGGTATCTTTGGGTCTACTATCAACACCAACCAGTAAGTCTTAGGGCCTGCTATCAGTGCCAAGTTAATGAACTTTGGGGCCTGCTATCAGCCTTAGGCAAGTAATGCCTTAGGGCCTGCTATCAGCACCAAGCAGTAACCTCTACTTGCAGAGGGAAAGCTTCCCCAAAGGCTGCTATCACTTTGGCGAGATGTTCCCTCTGCATGTTAGTTGCGACGACTATAGTTGCTGCAACAGTCATTTCCCACGGCAAGTTCAAATGGTAGAACCAACAATGTTAGGAATGACGGCACTGACAAAATGCCTCCGCAACTTGGGCGCTGTAAGTACTGTCTCAGCAACTTAGTTACTTCGGTTTTCTCTTCCCTCACCAACTCTAGGTGGTCGTGGAATCGACATTACTTGGAATGACAGCGCTGAGACAAAGTGCCTCCGCAACTTGACCTCCGCAACTTGGTCGTCGCAAGTGTTACCTATGCAACTTAGTTGTGTCGGCTTTCTCTTTCCCTCAGCAACTTCAGAGGGCGGCAGAACCAACAATATTCTGAATGGCGGCGCTGAGGCAAAGTGCCTCTGCAACTTGGCCGCTACAGGTGTTGCCTCTGCAACTTGGCCGCTGCAAGTACTGCATCTGCAACTTCACCTTGCCATTTTCCTTCGTGTAGTCTGTTTGGACCCTTGGCGGGTCGAACCTGCTTCAACCCATGGTTGGCCCATTTCCTTTTTTCATTCCTAGTCACCTTAGAAGGGCGACCTCAGCACTTAGGCCCATACTTAATTTGGGGTTTAATTCCTGACCCTCTACACTATTAAACATAATCACTGACAAAAATCACAGAGATTATCTGTTATCAAATTATAATCTTTTATGTGATTTTCACTGGATTACAAGTTTACAATTTTCTCTGTGATTTCTGTTGGATTATAATAACAAACATACAATTTTCTCTGCAATACAAACAAAAGTGCAGAAAAATAAAAAGTGCAGAATGAATGGAAAAGAAAAAAACATAGGAAAGTGCAGAAAACTCCATCGTCAGTAACAAAGAATGAAAAATCAACTTCAAAAATCAAAAACAACTATACTCAGCAGGCTTTTCTCTCACATTGATCAAAACTGAAAACAAAAACCTAATTCAAACTACACTAGAACAACTTCTCTGAAATCGAAGTCCTTACATCCAAATCAAATGAAAAATCAAAAAAATGTACCTGATTCAACTCCACTGGAAATCAAATCAACACGACTTCAACTCCTATACGATCAACAAAAATCAACTTCTACTCAACTACAAAATCAACTTCTACGCGATCAACGAAAATCAACTTCTATACGACTATAAGTTGGGTAGGGATCTTAGACCAATATTTCCATTTTTAAATACTATTTGTTAACTTAGAATCGGGTTGAACCAATGTTTGACCACTCCTCCAATTAGATATTCATTTGTTTTCTGCCAATCTACCAAAAAATAAATTACGTAAAATAATATTTTATGTATTTTCATCTCATAACTCCAATCACTTTGCTTGGTTTTCATTTTCAGAAAATTTTATTTTTTTACTTTTCATATTTTTTTATTTTCACTGAATTTTTTAAATATTTTAAACAATTATTTTAATTTTTAGACGCACCTAATATAAATACACTTAAAATGTATAATATTTGTGAATTTTTTTTAAAAAAAAAGTCACTAAATACCAAAAATACAAAAATTCAGTATATTTTTCATATTTTTGTGTATTTATTAATTTTTTATAATATTTTTTCACAAATATTTTACTATTTAGATACCTCTAAGTAAGGTACATCTAAAAAAAGTTTTTAAAAAAAAATGCTTAAAATTTTAAAAATATTCACTAAAAAAACAAAAAAAAAAACAAAAAACAAAAAATAAAAATACAAAAAAGAAAAAAAAAACACCAAAAACAAGAAATTTAATTTTTAGAAAACTGAACTAAAAAAATTGAAGCCAAATACACTGAATATAATTTTGTGTAATCT